TTTAAAAAAGTTTGTATTTCATGGAAGAGAAGCTGCGAAGAAAGGGAACATATGTTAGAATGACTGAAATCTCTGTCAAAAATAAATAACAAATACAGCTTTATAAATAAAATTCCTGGAAGTGATTACAATCTGGCATAATCTTTGTATGAAATTAAAAGCCACTACAGCTGTTCAGAATGCGTTCTTTATAGTGTAGAGATGCATTTTAAGGCAGTATTAAGTAGTTCAAACCACCAGTGGAAGAAATATTAAAGTAATTTATTTGAGTACAGAACTAAAGTAGAGTCACATAATAAGTAAGTAAGTAAGTAAGTTTGCTAAGTATCTCTTCCAAAATTTAACTATTGAAATTACAATCTAATCTTGAACCTAAATATTGAATTGAATTATTGAAATATTTAAATAAAGTAAAACCCTATGTTCATCAACTTCTATATATTCAGTTCTTGTGGGATTTGTGTTGCAGCAAAGTAATGATATCAAAAACCACTGGTGCCAAAACCACAGTCAGAGCTTCAGTATTTCATGCACAGACATCTCTGATGACCTCATAGCAATCTTCTTTTTCAAAGCAGGATTAAAATATATTAACTTATATTACAATATATAAATCACTCATTTTTATCATAATGAACAAAACCTAAATAAACAAATTTCAAGGTAAATAGATGAATATGTAATTTATCTTATGCCGTGCAGCAAAATAACTGCACAAAATCTACCAAACAGGATATGATTAAATAATTAATTCAGGAAATATATGGAATATTTTGGACATTTTGACATATTCCTATGGAATTTGGAGAATGTTTGTAATATGACATTTTTCATACACATTTCAGAAACATTTTAGAACAGTAATCACACTTCATTTATGGAAATCATGTGATGATGGCCACTCTGATACACAGTAAAGTGAGCAGTGTTAAGTGTTGAGTTAATTTTAACGTTACATATTACATTATATATTATCCCATTACACAGAGAGAAAAATCTGATCTGATTCTGGAAAGGGTGTAAATGCATACTTAGTATGCATTTTCTGTTCTACTTCTTTATAAAAAGGTATTTAAGGCAATTATTATACATATCTGTGACAAACCTATACAAACCTGAATATTATAGAAACAAATATACTTGTGTTTTGTACATGATTAGCAAAGAACAGCTATAACCTTATACAGCCCGGAAATGAAGTACAACTGTGTAACCTTGCCTTTCTACAACACGGCAGCAACACACACAAATACAGTTAGTCAAAATAAGGACACTCTATGATGATGAATGGTCATTAGCAATAATTAGAAACCCTCTCATTACAAACATTCCAGACTGTTCTAGATTGAAGTTACAAAAACCTTTGGACTTAGAATTTCAGCCTGATCCTTCTTCCATTCCTTATCCCCCATTTGCATTGTTTTGGATTTTGAGAAAATCATCTTATAAAAATAAGCATTTTTTTTACATTATGTAATCTCTTCTAATAATAATAAACGCAAGAAATATATAGGATGTGTCAAAGCCCACTTAGGTAATCACATGTTAAAGAGTACTTACTTTGAAAGACTCTCCCCTGAAGTATCCAGTGATGTGAATGTGAACTACTGAGACAGTTCAGTTTAGCTTAGATTTTCCCCAAAGCTCAAAAATGAAGTCCTGTTTCCGATTTGAAAATAAAATGTCTAGTTGTTGTATAGTATGAACACACCTGAATAAAGCAGTAGGGCATTGCAGTCTACCACTGTACTTGCTGTTTCCTCATAGCCCATTTTAAATAGGCTAAACATACTGTTTCTTAATAGCGACAGACTATTGAAGGATTGTTGCATGTGTTCAAACCTGCAACAGTAAAGAAGAAACCAACTTTTCTTTCTTACATCAAAAAAAAAAAGGACAGTCTTTAACACAGTGTTCACAGTGATGGTGAGGTTCTTATGGACACTGTGGGTTTCTTAGTCGCTGATAAAACACTGGCAGATCAAAAGTGCAACAGTGCTGTGGTACAATGTTACAAAACCAGCAGTTCAAGATTTCATGTCAACATTTTCTCTTTCAAAAATCAGTGGCCACATGTTAAGTATGTGTGTCATGTTTTAGTTTAATAACATCTGAAACTTAGGAACTAAGTTATTAAATCCTTGAGATTACATAGAAAACAGTGCAAACTGCCTGAGTTACTCTTAGAAGTGAGGAATAGAAGTCTGCAGTGTAAAAGCCTTCCATAAAGTTTAAGAGGTTAAAGGTTTAATTACATTGACATTATTACACTTATTTATTTTGGCTAGTTTTAAATAGTTTGTGAAAAATGTAAATAAAAACATAATGCAATTATGTGCAAATCATTTAAACCCTATAATTCATTGAAAATGCTTCAAAGACAATATACCAAATGTTTAAACTGAGAAATTTTATTGTTTTATCAAAAATATATGCCCATTTTGAATTTGATGTTAGCAATACGTTCCAAAAAAGTTGGGACAGGGGCAACAAAAGGCTGGTAAAGTTGTGTAATGCTTAAAAAAACACCTGGCAACAGGTCAGTAACATGATTGGGTATAAAATGAGCATCTCAGAGAAGCTGAGTCTTTCAGAAGAAAAGACGAGGAGGAGTTCATCACTCTGTGAAAGACTGCACAAGCAAATAGTGCAACAATTCAAGAATAACATTTCTCAACATAAAATAACAAAGAACTTTAGCATTTCATCATGTACCGTACATAATATCATTAAAAGATTCAGAGAATCTTTTAGCCAGGGACAAGGCCAAAAACCAGTAGTTGCTGGCCATGATCTATGGGCCCTCAGAGGACACTGCATTAAAAACAGATATAATTCTGTAGTGGAAATCATTGCATGGGATCAGAAATGCTTCTGAAAACCACTGTCTGTGAAAACAAAGCAAAGTTTGGTGCTGCATCAACAAATGCTAATTAAAACTCTTAAACGCAAAGAAGAAACCATATATAAACATGATCTAGAAATGCTGAAAAATGGACTGAGGGGAAGTGGAAAAGTGTCCTGTGGTCCAACAAATTAACATTTGAATTTCTTTTTGGAAATCATGGACGCTTTGTCCTCCGGGCTAAAGACCACTCAGCTTGTTATCAGTGCACAGTTCAAAGGGCAGTGTTCATGATGGTAGAGGGGTACATTAGTGCACATGGCATGGGTGACTGGCACATCTGTGAAGGCAACATTAATGCTGAACGATATATACATGTTTTGGCAACATATGCGGCCATCCAGACGTCTTTTTCAGGGAAGGCCATGCTTATGTCAGCAAGACAATGTCAAACCACATTCTGCATGTATTACAACAGCATGTCTCTGTAGTAAAAGAGTCCAGGAGCTAAACTGACCTGCCTGCAGTCCAGACCTGTCACACACTGATAACATTTGGCACATTATAAAACGAAAAATACACCAAAGAAGAACCCAAACAGTTGAGCAGCTAAAATCCTATGTTAAGCAAAATGGGAAAACTTCTGACTTTCTAAACTTCAGCGGTCGGTCTCCTCAGTTCCCAAACGCTTACAGAGAGTTGTTAAAAGAAGAGGTGATGAAACCCAGTAGTAACCATGCCCTCGTCCCAACTTTTTTGGTACGTGTTGGCATCAAATTAAAAATGGGCATATATTTTTCAAAAAACATTTCTCAGTTTCAACATTTGATTTGTTGTCTTTGTACTATTTTCAATGAAATGAAGGGTTTAAATGATTTGCACATCAATTAATTTTGTTTTTATTTACATTTTGCACAGTGTCCCAACTTTTTTGGAAATGAGGTTGTAATAAAGAAGTTATGAATTGGCCCATCTTTACCTTCATCACACACAGAGCAGGAGTGGCACTTTATCTGTCCATTTGGAACCTCGGTGTAGGTTGACTGCATGCAAGGCAAACACGCTGACAAACAAATATCTGTTGCCCTTGTCCACTTTCAAGCTGGTGTAGCGCCCCTACACAAGGTCATGGTAAACATATGACTTGGCAAAATGTCCCATTAGGGCATCCTGGGTTCCATTAATGTGGTTTAGTTGCTCTGTATTAATTTACTGCTTATTTAGGGAGTGATCCTAGCTTAATGACTGCAAAAAGTATGCGTTGGCAGTGACTCCAATTAATTTGGTGGACAGGAATTATGCTAGTTCCCACCTCTGATGAAATATACAGCACTTAGAATACTCAAATGTAGAATGTATATAGGTGTTCAATTTAATACACCCCAAAAAGAATAAACACTCTGAAAGGGTAAATTCACATTGAATGAAAGGGTAAATTCACACAGAATCTGTATGGCTCAGTAACATCTCACTAATTTACAAAACCAGCTCTTAACAGAATTTAAACACAAATGTATAGGTTGAAAATCAGGCAATTTTAAGACAGAGATATTCTTCTCGAATGTTGGTAGAAAACAATCCTCAAGCTAAGGCAAACTCAAAGTGCATATATTCAAATTATATTACACCTGAACTGTGCAGTGGTGGCCAATGACAGAGAGTTTAGGTCACAAACTGAAACCAAATTAAGAAGGGGAAAAGAAATAAAGATAGAGAATATAATGTGTTTTATCAATATTAAACCAAATTATATGAACTATTTAATGGAACAAAACTCCTATGGCTGATTATTTAGCAGTGTTACATTTGTCTCATTTACATTAAGCCACTTATTACAGTCAGTGTGAACCATGCCTCATCAGTCATAAAACATTCCAACATGAACATTAGACTCTTGTATGGTGTCACAAAACCACTGTAATTTCCCCACACAGAAATTTACAATTGCATAAAAATGATATTTTATCCCGTTATTTATTTGCAGCAGTATTCTACATTAACCTTATACTCAGCAGTACGACATGCTCTGGGTTTTAATAATGCTATCCATGTGATGGTGAGATCATATAATCACATGACAGTTACCACTCGTAGAATAGGACAGCTTCTTAAGTGAAGCAGAAGCTATGATTTCTGTTGGAGAAGTGAACTTCCT